AAAATTTGCCGTCGAGCAGAAGGGTGCGCACACTCGATAAACCGCACAGAAAGTAGTAGTTGTTTTGCTGGCTTTCGACTTCGCGGGAGGGTATAGAGAGCGCAAGGTAGGGGAAAAAATCAACTATCACAGAGGCTTTATACGAAGTGAAATAACACCCTCGTAACTTCCAATGACGAGATACGACCCCCGTTCGAGATCACCATCAAACGGCGGGCCCTGTCTGGAGTGACGCGTCGTGAAACGTGCGATTACATTCCATTACAACCCAGCTCATCATAGGAGTAGACGATTGCAGCCCTTTAGCACCCATGAACACATGCAATCATATACTGACGCCTTAGATGCTACATGCCGACTTCTCAATGAACATTAATCTCACTTCTCTCTATAGCTTCGGTACATCCTGGGTTGTCCACTTCCAACTCTATTTTACACAAATATGACGAGTCCGCAACCTGAACATGTTGCGAAATCATATTCCGCTGTTAGGATGCGTTCATACTTTGCGTCAGCGTTTACAGCGACTAGTAAAGCATAGGGATTGATCTAATATTTCGAGCGTACGGCAGTAAGGAATGCTCGCGAAAAGCCCAAAACTATCTCTGTGACGTTCAAAACGGCTAGATCGATATCTATGCTGCCCTGGTCGCTCAAAACGCAGAAGCAAAGTATAAACGCACTTTTATTCGTCAGTGATCAAAATGCCTAGGACAACGGTAATAGTACTGCCTGCATTGATCGTGTCTCTTACCTTTTCAAGAACAGCACTCATCAAGCGTTCACTTCTCCTAGCTAGATCCAGCTTCCTTTCACTCAACCGATGAATCAAACGATATTTCTAGAAGATAAACACGAAGTGAACAGAAAAAAAACGTAAAACAATACAAGCATAGAGGCAAACGCACATCTGCAAGTTCCATCAAAATTCTATCTCTCATAGGTTGAGAAGTTTCCCTAACCTCCATAATTCGCTTAGCTGCATATTTACATTCCAGTCGAAGTCCTGAAATGGTCGAAAATAACTAGTTTTCCATGTACAGCAAATCCAGCGAAA